TCACTAGATTCTTCTACTTGCTCTATCCACCAAAATAAAAATACGGAGATATTCTGAAACTCGAAGAAAACTCATTGAAAATATAACACTTTTCACTACTTAGCTCTTTGAATCTTCAAAGCAGTTTACAAGAAGGATCCATTACTAAGGTCATCATATTTTAACCGAATACCCATCTAACTTCTGCAACTCACTACCACTCCAGGAGCCCAAAAAAGATGGGGGCATGAATAAAAATAGCAACAGCCACTATAAAAATGAAGATATAATTACAGAGACTATTAATCTTCATGTGTCAGGGCAAAAACTGATTACAACCAGGCTCATGGATGAATTCCCATCTTCATCTCTCCTGGTCTCATATTGCATAATTGGCAAGGTGCACTGTAGGTTGTCTTAGAAAGATTAGATTGTAATCAGTAAATATCGCCACAAGCTTAAAAAAATGAGCGTGGCTCTAGCAAAGTACTTTTTACCTGGAACACTGAATAACTATTATTGCAAATTATTAGGTGGAAAATATGATGATTTTTCATCTACGAATACAAGTTGCAGGAGTTATGTTTTAAATAAGTACAAAACATTTGAGGGTTGTTTGGTTTTAATTTTGTGACAGTGTGACAATTTAAGTTAATAAAACTGGGGGGGAAATACTTAGACATAAATTATTGAGCCTATCTGGGAAACGTCATGAGAAATGAAAATCCGCTCATTTCACACCTAATTATAGCATTTCATCTTTCTACTGAAAGACCGAAAAGAAGCTCCACTGAAGCCAAAGGTACTGATGAGATGCATCGCTGTCCTGCTTTTGGTTTGGCCTTCATATGTGTCTAATGAGGATTACTCTGTCATGCATTACTACAGATGCCCACATTTATTGTGGAAACTCTGCTGCTGTCCAACCACCTGGGCCTTCAAGCTCTAGAAAACAGGTTACCAAAGGCTAAAGTGAAGTGCCATCAGCCAAGAAAAGGGGTTTAAAAATTAAAAAACTCACATGAGTAATAACTGAAGAGTGTATGGCAAAAGGGCTCCCTGCAAGGGAAGGATGACTTGGAAACAAACCAAATCTGTCGGTCAAATTTATGAGCTCACAAAAACAGATCATAAAAAGTGTTTATGATTATACATTAGCATATTAGAATCAGTAACATTGCATGATTCAGAAGTCACATTTATAGCTTCTATATTTATAGCATTTTACATTTCTACTTGCACATATAACTAGAATAAGAACAAAAATACTAGGGCAAGAACTTGCAAACACTACCAGGTACAAGTGCATCGTACTCTGGGAAGTCATCTGCAAGTAACCATTAGCTGTTTCAGATCTTATTTAGGTACATCTTAATGTATTCTAGTGACATTTGTGAGGGCTTTAGAGGGGACATAATTAAAATACCACACAGCAACCTGGGACAAAGCACTGTATTTCATCCTCCTTAGAACGAAGAACAAGTTAAATCACCCACATCATGGTCACATATATTTGAATAAAAGTATTAAAAAATGTTATATTAGCATTAAGTTATTGTGGCTTCCACTTTGCAATTGCAAAGGTTGCAATATAAACACCTTTATTCTCCAGATAATGCTAATCGGTGTCTGTACATAGCCTGCCCAATTGACAAGAGAATAAGTAGCTGTAGGTCTAGACATTGGGGAGCATAATGTTATTTTGGTTACACAGGATGTTGTGGAAGTACATCAAAAGAAATGGAATAGCTTTTCCTTTCAAAACCAGACAAAATGTCCTTCCGAGGAAAGGTAAAAGGGCAAACAGGACTTCAGTCACCTTATTGAAACTATTGAGAGGAGCGGTATGTGTAAGATAAGACAAAGGGAACACATTTCTGGTCAAATATAGCAACAGCTAATGTGATGTTGGATAAATAAGCGCAGAAAGTTTGTTCATTTATATCTCTGGTAGGTTAAGACATCAGTAGTACTGTACCTCAAAATAGGTTGTGTAAGGGGCTGTGTCCCTCAAACATGCAATTAATTCATTACAAAGAGTGTAAAGGCTCAGTTCTATTTTAGAATGGCTTAATATAAAATGCTTGTGATCCGTGGAAGCTGAGATGACAGAAATATATCCAAGTCAGATGACTCTGGCTACTCTTGTATCAAAAACCTTGACTCTTTTGTAAAGTTTAACTCAAGTTATACATAGTCTTAATCTACAGGCCGCTATATTTTGACACACATTACTTTTTAAAAAAAGTTTCCCCGACATAGAACATTTGACTTTAAATCACAGAATCATAGAATACTAGGGCTGGAAGAGACCTCAGGAGGTTGAGTCCAACTGCCTGCTCAAAGCAGGACCAACCCCAACAAATATATTTTTAATTCAGAATATTTAAATGTACCATGAAGCTTAGGGTCCATCACTAGAGAAGGGCCCATACTATCTATCAATGCAAGTTCAAATAGACTTGACAGATGCTTTCACCAAAAATCCCGAACATGGCCGGAAAAAAACTTGGTTGAGCAAAAAAAAAAAAAAAAAGGGAGACCAAACTTGTTGACCAAAAAAACCCAACCAACCAACCAAACAAAAAAACTGGGAGCACCTTTAAGAATGTCTCCACCAGCCTTCCGTCCATTTTACATGTCCGGTATTTTCTGTTTTTTTTAACCAGACGGGGGCCAGAAATAATGGACTGTCTGGGCAAAAACTGGACACCTGGTAGCCCTATGTTCAAATACTCTAAGGGACAAAATGTGTTAACCTACCATTATGGCTTTAGTCCAAAGTTTCATTCCATGGAAGGGGCTTAATGTCTAGCCTCATTCAATCAAATATGACACAAAACAGCAGAACTCTCACACTCTTGAGAGAACAGTTTACCATGTTTTAGTGCCCTTGAACCCCAAATCCTGGTTTCAATTTGGGATGTAAAATCACATTTAATTAGTTAAATGGGTGAATGTTAAGTTGAGCCAGTTAACTGATTAAACAGGGGTAGGGGCTTCTCCAACCCAATTGCTTGCAGCCCGGCATGGTCTACTGGGTTCCTAGCCCGTGCAGGGTCAGAAGCAGCAGTCCTGTGCAGGGTCAGCAGAGCTGCTGCTGCTTCTGAGGTCATTTCTGTCTGGGGATGCCACTTCCGGCCCTGTGCAGGGGTCTGGTGAGGGGGGTGCCCCCACACACTGGTTAACCATTACCCGGTAAGCATCACTCCCTTAAGGTGCTTACCAGATAACTGGCTAACCAGTTAAATGTTAACATACCTAGTCTCAATTCACAATTGAACCTTAACCTAAACCTTAAAGAAAAACTCCTGCCCTTGGCTGTCTCTCATTGTAAGCCTTTTAAAACCTTTGATACATCTGCTGCAAAATTTGGTAAGATTGAAGTCACATTAAAGAATTCTCACCTGATATTTTGGGCACTGTTCTTTCGTGTCAGACGAGGAGGAGGATGAATTGATGGAGCTGTCCAATGAAGAGGAGCTGTCTCCTCCAGGCTTCAGGTGGCAACATTTCCCAAAGACTCTCACCTGAGCATCGCTACAGAGTTTCTGAAACACAGACCACAAGCTTGTCACAGACCAGCTCACATCATCAGCAACATTGCTGAATGGCACCGGAACGATCTGGCCTTGTATTCCCAGAGCGAGGATTTACTTCTTCTACAGACTGGCTATGGTGAAGGAGGCTGGCCTACTTTACTTACATAACCATCCCTGTTCATTGCCTTAAGAAATTGCAGGCAGCCAAACTGCTTTGAAGTTTTACAAAGAATGAATTATGGGGAGTCAGAGAATGGGTGGCATGAAAAGGGGTGAATACAAGACAAGGAACAACAGATTTCACCTGCTTTCTCCCTGCCTTACATACCTACTAAGTATTCATATAGTCCCGTGATCGGCACTGCACTTTGTACAGGCAAATTCAGGTTTTTAACCCTACTGACAAGGAAGAAAAGCCTGGAAATGCAACCCAAGTGTAACTGTTGCAAAGTCTGCAAAGGGCCAGAAACAATGGTTCTAAGAGGTGCAAATTGTCCTAGACATCTCAATGGGACTTGAATGCCCAACCCCTGCTTTGGGCATCCCTCCGATTCCACCCCAGCAAGATGCTCGGTGCATGCGTCAGCTGGCAAAAGGAGAAAAGTGCAAGGGGACTCCGCCCATTCCTCCAAGCTGATAATGTCAGCTGCCAGGATGAGTACTAGATCTCTGCCACTTCCACTGGTCCAGTGCAGGGAAAAGATGGACCCCTGCTGCTTCAGCAGCGGTGGTGGTGGAGAGGCAGAGGGAGAAAGGAGCATCATGTTTCTGCCCCTCCCTCCCTGGGCAAGGTAGAGGCCAGTGCAAATGGGGTGTGCAGCCCCATGTGTCATAGTGCATGTAGGCTACCAGATTGCTATAATCTGTCCCCAAGTTAAACAGGGCACACACACTCACTGACATTTTTCCATCATGTTACCCGCACTAGTGTTTGCACTAGTGCTGTCACTTGTGAAGCTGCTCCTGTGGGAAAGAGGTTAAGGAAAAACATACTGACAAACTCGTGAGTTTGGGGCAGGTCTAGGACTGAAAAAGCATTCTCCTGACCCTGAGGCCTGTGCTTTACACAAGCTCCCTCTCTGAGTAACCACCTCGCATTATGACACACTAATCCTCATGAGGAGCACGCTGAACTCATGCAACGTGTAGATTTGCTAATGTCTCATATTTCTTGCACCGTGCATACAATGGCTGGAACATGTGAACAATAATCATATGACTTTAGTAGGAACTCGTGAACCAGAATTGCATTTTATCTCTGACACAAACAACAATGTCCCAAGCTAGGCAAGGCATCATGTGATAAAAAACCACATTGAATCCACAGGGTTACAGCAGCTTTTGCAGGCAAACCACATTTCAGCTTTATATTTTCCATCAGATGTTGCAAGTTCCTATAAGAAGATTTGGCAATAGCTAGGCTTACTTCAGGTTATAAGTATATTAAATGCATTTTATGTAAAAGAAAAAATTTCTGTGCATTAAATGAGAGGCTAAAAAGTGAGCATTTTGCAAACCCTAATCATTTCTCTTGATTAGTAGGAATGTGAAAGGTTAACCGGTTAGCTGATTACCAGTTCCAGTTAACCATTAACCAATGGCGGTTGGAGCACCTCCCCAACTGCCGCGGGCAGAGGACTGTTCCAGCCCTGCGGGGAGGGGGGAC